GGCTTAGTGCAAAGAGCAAACCAGGGCTTCTCCAGCTGCTTGTTCAAATCTCTCCTCGCTCTCCCAGCCGCCTTCTCTCTCCTCCGCTCCTTCCTTCACCCTCTTTTCGCTGCACATGCAACAACTTAACAGAGCGACCGGGCTGCAGAGCAGAGCGACCAGGCGGGACAAGGCGAGCAAAATTAAAACACCTACTTGCTTTCCATCACCTCATCCCCCGTGTTACGTCCAAGCGCCCCGCTCCCAGCCAGCAGCGATCCCGCCCTCCAGCACCCCGCGGGCACCTGGGCTCTCCCCGGGGAGCAGAGAGAGCTGCCGGTAAGATCTCTCAGCTCCGCAGCACCCTGAGACCCCGCAGGCATCCCACCTCTGCTGGGGTGGCTCAGACCTGGGTCTCTGATGTCCCTCCCTTCCCGGCGCTTCCTCCCTCTGTGCTCAGGCAGAGCAGCACCAAAAAGGCTCCCAGGGGTGTGGGGGGGCTTTTATAAAGTGCTGCCCCCACGCCCCCTCCCTCCAGCCAAGTGGTCTCACCTATGGAGCCCTGCCCAGGCATCGCCGGGTTCCTCAGTCCCATTGCTGAGAGCAGCACCCTGAGGAACTTACTATTTGATTTTCCTTCTAAAAATAAAAAAAAAAGAAGGAAAAACTGCCCAGCCCCTGCCTGACCAAACGGCTCCCCCCCAGCACAGACCCCGGCAGCTGCCCACACACGTTCACACGCTGCGGTTTTGCTCCGGTTTTGCCCACAGGGTGCTCGGCGCGTCCCCTTTTCCAAAGGCTGAAGCAGGCTGGGCCCCCGAGCAGCCCGTTTCAAAAAGAGCAGTGCCGCCGGCCGATGACTCTCTGCGCTCACGGTTTCTATTTTCTAACCCCTTCATCTGTCTGCACTGCGTTAACGGGTACACAAGGGTGGGAAGGACAATCTCGGCCCCGAGACACCTTTGCAGGGACCGTCTTCCCCAATGAAATGTCGGGACCGAGAACTCGTGTCCCCGGGGCTCACTGCGTGTCCTCGTCCTCGTGAGCGCTCCCAAGGATGCAGGATCGGGCCGTCAGCCAGAGGCCCGTGACCCGGCGGGTGCTGAGCAGGGCCACGGTGGCCACAGAGCAGCCACGGCCCCTCGGGCACATCAGCTCCGCACTGGATGAGCCCCTGGGGCGCTCTTAGGGCAAGATCAACCGCATCAGCCTTCACCGGGGATCGAGAGCGTCCCCAGGCAGCGCGGCCAAAGGTGATGGTCTTTATCTGTGCCTCGTGCTTCTCAGATACCAAATATCAAATTGTGCCTGGAGACACTCCTGTTATTAAATATTCCTCCGAGATTAGAGCAGTGCTTCCTCCTCTCCAGCCTCTTCCCTGCCAGCCGAGCCGATGAACACGATAACTTATCGGGACCTTCCCCTGTGCTGTTAGCAACGGCACAGGGACTTACTGACCCACCCCAGAACAACACACTGAATATTTAGGACTATCCTGAGCTTGGTAAGAGATAACATCTTTATCATAGAGCCCTTTAAACCCTCAGTGCCTGCCAGGCTCCTCTGTCCCTGCTGAAAGGACAATATCAGACCCAGAGCAGCAAACACTGATAACAAAATACTTCCTTGAGCAGTGCTGGGGCTGGCAGAGGGGTTGCCCGGCCAGTAGCCCCCCCCCGGGGCTCTCTGCTGTCCGGACACGGCAGCTGCTGGACTGGACCGACGCGACCCCAGCAGAGCGACTGCTCCGCCCCAGCCTGGCCAAACCAGGGCACACCGGTCACACCAGCACAGCACCCAGCGCAGCCCAGCACAGCCCAGTACAGCCCCGCAGAGCCCCGCTGCCCAGCGAAGGGATTTCTCCATCAGACCAACACCCACCCCGTGCCCTCCTTGGCTCGGAGCAGGCTCCACCCCGCCGTGGACTCGGGGGTGCAAACGAAGCGCCCAAGGCTGCGCTCCCGGCGCGTGTCGGCCGCAAGGTCCCTGGTGGGATCACTCGAACATCTCGCAGCGTCCTCGCACGATTACCCCGTGTCACACCTGGGAAACACGAGCACAGAGGAAGAAGTGACTGAGATCCGGCTGCACCCTGAGGAATCGGTCCGGACGGGAATGCTCAGGGATGCTCAGGTCTAGAGAGAGGCTGCCAGGGGCCAGGAAGGGTGAAGCCCAGTGTGAGCATGGGACTCACCTGCCCAGCTGGGGGGAAAATGCCAAGGAATGAGCCCAGACAGTGCTGGGAGACCAGTGGAGATGGCTCTGCCCAGCCAGCGAGGGGATGGCGGGCAATTAGGAAGCAAAGCACCAAGAAATAAATCTGGAGCCTGAGGAGAGGGAGGTCAGCAAAGACACAAAGGTTGAGAGTTCAGACCCTGAGGAACCAAGTCACCCTTGTTACATAAGTCTACAAAAGCCTTTAACTCTGTTTCGCTGAGAAATGAGTCGTCAGCAGTGATTAAACCCCAGGGAAGTCATAAAACCAGCAGATATTGATAAAATGGGATGCTTGATATGGGGAAGCTCCGCCGTGCACAAGCGGATGAGGGTCACCTGCGGTGAGCAGCAGGCGCTGGGCTGAGGGGACACGGGGGCTTCAGAGCTGGGCTCACCCTCTGCAGCGGCTCTGGGGGTGGCTGGCACGGCCAGGATCCAGGACAGAGCCTCCTCCCCCAGCACGTACCCCCACAAAGCCACCGTCGAGGACCTTGGGTAAATCCAGGCTCCTTTCTGAGCCTCTGAGCATCCCTCCCGAGGCAGACGAGCAGCCCTGGGAGGGGGCTGAGTTGCCTTTTGAGGCTGAACTGCTGAGCAAAGAGCGGGGCACCCCAAGCCAGGAGCGTGGCAGGGACACGGCCGCGGGCCGCAGGGAGCCAGCACGGGGCGAAGGACGCGCGGGGGGACGGGGCGGTGGGAGGCCGCTGTCCCACGGGCCTCCTGCCACAGGAGCAACTCTTCCCCCTCGTCAGGGCTGGAGTAGCACCCGACGCCACCGATGGAGGAGGCAGATCCGGTGTGTGACCCCGGAGGAAATCTAAACTAATCTACCTCAGCCAGCCAAAAACCAGAGGGGCTCATTCTGAGACGAGGTGCTGGCTGAAGCCACGCACCTGATCAGCAACTGCGAGATTAGATAAGGACTGAACTTAGTCCCATCCCTCAGGTATTAATGGGAGCTCTCGGGGCTATTCCAGTTCAAGGGCCTGAAGATGTTCGCTTCACTGGGCTTCCTATTTGCTGCCCTCTCTTTGGCACGCTGCATCCCCGTGCAGCAGGTATCCCACCGCAGCAAAGTCCTCCTGGTGTCCTTTGACGGCTTTCGGTGGAACTACGACCAGGACGTGGACACCCCCAACCTCGACGCTATGGCCGCGGAGGGGGTGAAGGCGCGGTACATGACTCCCGCCTTCATCACCATCACCAGCCCGTGCCACTTCACGCTGCTGACCGGTGAGTCCTCCCCAGCCCCGAGCCCGACGGAGCGACGCGGGGCGCAGGCTGGGGAAGGGCGGATTTAGGGTTTAGGCAGCAGTGAAGGAAACAAATTCCAGCAGCCATCCAGCCTCGGCCGCACGCCGCTACGCTTTAGGACAAAATGTTCTGGAAATACAGTGGGAGACAAGGCAACAGCTGCGGAAGGGGGTAGGACTGAACCGTTTATCAAAGGTCAACAGCACCAGAGGTAGGAATTATGCAGCCGCCCCTGGACCACAGTAGGAATCGACATCCTGGTTGGCAACGCGGACAGTGGGATCGAGGCCCCCTCGGCACGTTCCCCACTGACACCGAGCTGGGGGTGGGGGGACACGCTGAGGGCAGGGATGCGCCATCCCGAGGGGCCGGGACAGGCTGGAGAGAGGGGAACAGGCAAACCCCATGGAGTTCAGCAAGGCCAAGGGCAAGGTCCTGCCCATGGGTCGGGGCAATCCCAGCACAAACCCAGGCTGGGCCAGGAGGGGATGAGAGCAGCCCCCGGGAGAAGGACTTGGGGGGGCTGAGGGGGTGGAAAACTGCCTGTGAGCCACCAACGGGCGCTGCCCAGAGCAGGGTGGGCACAGGGCCAGGGGGGGATTCTCCCCCTCTGCTCCGCTCTGGGAGACCCCCCCGCAGGGCTGGGTCCAGCTCTGGGGCACCAACAGCAGAAGGACACGGACCTGCTGGAGCAGGGCCAGAGGAGGCCACGGAGATGCTGGGGGGGGCTGGAGCCCCCCCTGTGAGGACAGGCTGGGAGAGTTGGGGGGTTCAGCTGGAGGAGAGAAGGCTCCGGGGAGACCTTAGAGCGGCCCCCCCAGGGCTGAAAGGGGCTGCAGGAAAGGCGGGGGGGAACTCGTCATCAGGGGTGTAAGGATAGGACGAGGGGTGACAGTTTTAAACTGAAAGAGGGGAGATTTAGATGAGACTGAAGGAAGAAATTCTCCCCTGTGAGGGAGTGAGGCCCTGGCACAGGCTGCCCAGAGAAGCTGTGGCTGCCCCCTCCCTGGAAGGGCTCAAGGCCAGGTTGGACGGCGCTTTGGGCAACCTGGGCTGGGGGAAGGTGGCCCTGCCCGGGGCAGGGGGTGGCACTGGAGGGGCTGTAAGGTCCCTCCCAACCCAAACCCTCCCGTGATTCCATGATTACACGGAGGTCACCCCAACAGGGCTCATCCCTCAGTTCCCCTTTAACAACTGGTCAGACCAAATCTTCTGTAGATATTTACTCCTCACACACAGGACCTGCAGCTCGACCCGGGAGCGGGTTGGTAGTTACTGGATTTATAGTCTCTACAGGCCACCTGATTTCCCGACGGCACTTCTGCCCACCCAGTCCCGTTCGCAGAGTCCAGGGTCTCCTTTTCCCCTGGGTCTCTCTCTCACAGGCTCCAGGAACCCTTTTTGTCTGGGCCTTGAGATATTTCCTTCTCTTTTGTTACAGGATAGCCTGCAGGTAAAGTTTACTTATACTTTCCTACTTACCCAAAAATTAAAGTACAGTTTATGCAGCCCAAGGCTTCATTTGATTAGTCACTACTGCTAAGCTCTGGCACAAATTAGTGTCTCACTACCACGTCCTCCCTGTTTTTATTAGCATCCCTGCATCCTCTGCATTATATAGGTGCCGAACATCAGCGGCCTCCGATCTGTGCCCAGATTGGAGCTCAGCACACGCTGCAACACTGCAAACACGCAGATATAATTAGAAAGGCAGAAACACAAAATAACATTCCCTTCAGTATTCTCCTAATCTGGATTCCCCAGTCAGCGAGAGACAAGGCAAGAGCTGCAGAGAAGGGACAGAACTCAACCTCTATTTATCAAAGGTAAATAGCACCAGCCCAACCCAACAGCCGCCTTTGATAAGATAAATGATTTTTTAGACAACGGAGATGCACTAAATTTAATCTTTCTGGACTTGAGTAATGTATTTGATACAGTGCCACACGGGAAATCATTAGTTAAGATGGAGAAGGCGAAAATTAGTACAAACCCTCTAACGTGGGGAAGTAACGGGCTACGGGGAAGAGGACAGCAGGTGATGCTGAGAGGAGACTGTCAAGCTGGAGGGAGGGCAGCAGGGGAATTCCTGAAGAATCGATTTTGGAGCCAATCTTATTTAAGATTTTAATTAATAACCTTGGCATAAAAGAGTGGAACATGCTAATGAAATCTGCTGATGAGAAAAGGCAGGGAGGCATTGTCAATACAGGGGAGGACGGGGATATCATGCAGAAGTAACTGTGCAGTCTTCGGGACCAGAATAATAAAAATGCCGTGAAATGTAATAACAGCAGGTGCAAGTCTTTCGCTCCCAACAGGAATTCCTGCTGCACGCTGACCTCACGGGTCGTGAGCCCCAGGGAAAGCGAAAGGCCAAGGCGATCGGTTCACCCCCGGGACGGGGCGGCTGCAGGCAGCACCCCCAGGGCTGAGGGTCCCCCGGCTCGGGGTGCGGGCGAGACCCTCCGGGGATCAACCCCCACCACCACCACCCAGCATCTCATTCCCTGCCCTGGGAACCCACTTTGTACGGAGCAGGGGGAGGAGAGGGGCAAAGGGGGAGCTGGGATGGGGGACGGGAGGCAGCAGCCCCTCGCTGAGCCCAGCGCAGGGCCGAGACCCCCCCGTCCACCCGCAGCCCGGCTCACCCCGGCTCCTCCATCTCTCCCGGCAGGGAGGTACCTGGAGAACCACGGCGTGATTCACAACATGTGGTTCAACACCAGCACGGGCCAGAAGCTGCCCTACCACATCACGCAAGGCGTGGACAGCTGGTGGGACAACGGCAGCCTGCCCATCTGGATCACGGCTCAGAGACAGGCAAGTGCGGCCGCCCACGGCCCCTGCGCAGGCGGAACCTGCCTCCAACCAGCCAGGAAAGCTACAGGCAAGCCACGATCTCTAGTGGCCATGAGCTAACAGCCTCGCTGCGAATGGCGGCTAATTAGACTAGGAAAAAAAAAAAAAAAAAGCGTGAAATCCCCAGACACCGGCAGGAATAATTATGATCATTCTGTTAAAAATAGCAAAAAATAATAGATGCGTTTCAGCTTTATTAAGATGTTAATAAAACGGGTTCTCCTTTCTCTGTTTAAAGAAACCTCTGCCCGTTCCTCAGGGAGCACCAGGAGCTCAGGGCTTTCAGCTGCTCCACGGCACAACCCGCGTTCCCGCGGCCTCACCCAGGACTGCGGGCGGCAGCGTCGGGGGCTGGCCCCTCCTTCCCTGGGGGCAGCAGCGAGGCTTTCCCCCATCCCACCAGGCTCTGAGTCTGGCTTTGAGACAGGGCTGGCCCGAGACACGTACCTGTGCCTGTATTTACCTGCCAAGTTGGCCCCGTTGACTTCAGGGCGAGCGCTTATAGGATTGGAGTGAAACACCTGAATGTGTCGGTGGTCCAGAGCCGGAGGGTCCACGCGAGGTACAAACGGGTCAGTGCTCCCAAAGTCACCACGAGCGTTACTAACACAGTGAGAAAACCAATGCGCAGGGAAGGGCAGTGCTTCCAATTAATCACTTTTAATTGGCAATGAGCAAGAAAAACTCATTAGAGGCAGAGGGAGACATTAGGGGGCTGAATGAGCCACCCGCACTAGTAGGGGGCTGCACTGGCAGATGGAGAGATGCTGCGGGGCGAGTCCAGGGGAGTTTATGCAATGTCTCCCCTCACAGGGTTTAAAGACGGGCTCGATCTATTTCCCCGGGGGAAGAGCAAAATACCAAGGAGAAGAAGTGAATATGAAGCTGGTGGAGCCCCTCTTGTTCAACTACAGCAACGAAACCAACTGGCGAGAGAACATTGACACGGCCATGGAGTGGTTCACGGTGCACAGCCTCGACTTCATCGCCCTCTACTTCGGCGAGCCGGACTCGGCGGGACACAAGTTCGGCCCCGAATCCCCGCAGAGGAAAAACATGATCAAGCAGGTGGACAGAACCATCGGCTACTTGAGGCAGCGCATCCGGGAGAGCGGCCTGGAGTCCACCCTCAGCCTCATCGTCACGTCTGACCACGGCATGGAGACTGTCATCAAGACCAACGAGATTCACATCCAGACGGTGGCGAACTTCACGTTCAAGGACATCCAGTTTGAGCTCCTGGATTATGGGCCGAACGGACTACTGGTGCCCAAAGAAGGAAAACTAGAGCATGTGTACTCAGTCCTGAAAAATGCCCACCCAAACTTACACGTGTACAAGAAAGCCGACTTCCCGAGGAGATTCCGCTACGCCAACCATTCCCGGATCACCCCGCTCCTGCTGTACAGCGACCCGGGATACGTGATCCACGGGGTAAGATGTGTCCCACTGCCTCTCTCCTCCTGTCCTTCTCCTGGCACCCCGGTACCCACCCACCTTTAGGCCTTCACCTTGACTGGTCGCCCTGCAAACAGGTGGGAATTCTTTGTGTAAAGACCTTTTCTGCCGTTCAGACTAAGAAGGGTCCCGTAGTCTTGGAGCAGGACTTGCACAAACACAGAGTATCAGCTGCAGGGTCCCCTCCCGGCCGGGCATTAGGGGAAGGCCCAAGGTCAAGGCCAGCAGGCAGCTTCCCACCGCGAAGCTCCTCGGTACAACAAAATGTGGATGCGCTGACATTTAGGGAGGGAACTTGCAGGACGTCATCGCTTGGGAGCTGCGTCTAGGCAGCCCCCTCCAGCTCCTGCAGCGTTCAACGTCACAGATCGGCTCCAAAAACGCAAAGAACCCGAACAGGGAGCGGGGGAGGCCGTGCTGGGGCGGGGGGACGAAGGCTCTGGGCACTGACATCCTCTCCCTCGCCGCCAGAGGTACAAGGTCCAGTTCAACAGAGGGGAGCACGGCTTCGACAACGAGGCCATGGCCATGAAAACCATCTTCCGCGCCGTGGGCCCGGCCTTCCGGCGGGGGCTGCTGGTGGAGCCCTTCGAGAGCGTCCACGTCTACGCCCTCCTCTGCGAGCTGCTGGGCATCACCCCCGAGCCCCACGACGGCGACCTGGCGGTCCTGCGGCCGGTGCTGCGTGAGTCGGGCGGGGGCCGCGCGCCGCCGGTCACCGGGAGC